CCCCGCTCCTCCTCGCCCGGCCCCGGGCTGAGCCCTCCCCGCCGGCCCCCGCAGATGAGCGGAGGAGCGCCCCGGAGCTGGAGCCCAGAGAATGTAATCCCGGGAGGGAAGAGGAGCAGGAGACGGTTTTGCTGTGAAAAGGGGAATTAGCGTCTCCTTCCCGCGGCCAGCTGAGCACCACCGGCCATAACACAACCTCCCGGCTCTCTCCCGGGAAGGAAAGACAGATGGCACCAGCTGGACTTGCCCGGGAAAACTCAAGCAGAGGCTGGAGGGGAGACCTGGGAAAAGAAAGGGGATCCCAGCCCCTCACCTGGGCTCCCACCTGGAGATCATTTTACATGGCTCAGGACTGGTTCCAAAGGCCACGCAGCCTTTCCTCCACAGCATAAGAGAAGCAGGTCCCCACTTTCGTTTTTTCTCAAAAAGTTGTTTATTGAATTGTTCTTAATGTTATTTCAAAAAAAAATTCAAAATTTAGATAAAAAGAAAAACCCTGGTGTAAAATGAAAACTAATGTCTGAACCATGAACATGCTCTGATACACAACAGAAGTGATGGCCCCCAAGGGCTCACGCAGCTTGCCGCTGCCTGACCATCCCGACCCAGAGCACCTCCTCAGGTCACTCCAGAGGCATGCACGCACAGTCCCCCTGCCCAAATCTGCCTGCACCACCTAGGATGGGCTGGGCACCCCACTACAGGGGCAGTGGGCATCTGGAGTTAAATAAACCCCCCTTCCTGCTCAGCAGATATCCTCCCAGCTACTCACCCCAGCAGGGAGGAGTTTGAGTCCTTGACTAAGATACCAGTACTAGTTTCTGGTCAACAAGGAGCACATGTGCCCTGCAACCCCCTTGCTTGGGGCTCAGCACAAACCTCCCTTCTCTGCTCATGGCAGCAGACTCCAAACTAAAGGGGTAAGAAATCCACTGGCTTCTGCTGAATGCAACTTGGTCTGCCAGCCAGGCCTCAGGGACGGATGGGCAGGTGAAGAGACTTAACTCTCTCAAAAAGAGGCTAGGAAAAATTCCTATTTAGGAAAAATAAGCCAAGTGAGCGTTCAGTGACTATTTGGGACTATACATAGAAGGCATTTGCCTTAGAGACATCACACACATGTTGATAGATTTCCTGGCAAGAGCTCTTAACACAAGCCATACGTGGTTAGTAACTACTGGATCTGCTGGGTGGGCTTCCATGGAGCAGCCCACAAGGTAGCCAGGTCCTCCTAGGTCATGCCAGGGGTGACCAGGCCCTGGAGCATGATCATGAGGCGACGAGCAGGCTTGCTCAGCGTGTTGTGGGGTTCCACCTGGAGGAACTGGAAGAGCTTCTGCCGCACCTGATTCATGACTGACCCCATGTGGTCTCGGGTGATGGGGTCACTGTGGTCCAGGTGCATCACCGCTTCCTCCAAGTAACTGAAGGGGATAGACCAGAGTTAGAACCAAACTCAACATCCGATTCCAATCTGATTCAGTTCATTTTAGCACTGAAGATGAGCAATGCTGCTCCCCCCCACCCACCCAAACTCAGTGCGGTATGTTCAGCCGTCAGAACATAAATGTTACTGACTCACAGCAGAGTCCACCTATCCCTTCTTCAACATGTAAGGGCAGCCTACAGCTTCCAGTGTGCAGTATGTGCAACACAACCTGGCTGCCTGAACCAAAGCAGGCACAACAGCAAGCTAGAACTCCCTGCAGTGCTGCAGGTGGCACTTGGCCACAGGCCATGCTTGGTCACAGCTCTGTAGATATTTTCTTTGATGCCTTTTTAGCATAAGCAGAATTAGTCACTTACTAGACAGTAAAAATCCTCAGCAGTGAGGCTGATTTCATGTAGGGATATATTTAAGGTCTTCTTTCAATATGTCTGTCCAGGAAGGGTTGGGGCAAGAGCAAGAATTTTACCAACAAGCCATTCTGAAATTCAGATGAGCCATAAACTTTCAAACCACAGCCTGAGAGTAAGGCAATGTGGTCACTGGAAAAGGTTTTAACAGACTAGCCTGAACTTAACAGCAGCAACTTTAACTCTGATTACCAGCTCATCTGTAACTTTAAGCTCTTTTTCAGTTTTCCTAGCTTGCTTTATCCCTATTGTTAACTTGAGTTAAAAACTCCATTTAAGCCATTTTCCATACAAGCCATGGCCAAAACCTGCAGGTACCTTATCGGGTTAGTTTTTTAGGGCAGGTAACAGGGTTTTGACTCACTCAAAATGTTCATGGCAAGTATCAGCACAGTCACTATTTTGTCACATGAGCTTTGCTTAGAACATCTAACAGACATTACTTCCAGTAGCTCCTGCTGCCACCTCCCACTGAACCTGTCTGGCAGTCACGATGAGAAACTGCCAACAGAAAGTCCAGCAATGGGTTAAGAATTGAGGACAGAGCAAAGCTGCTCTGGATATTGAGCTATCCAGGAAACATAGAACTATCCCTCCTTTTCCCTCCACAGGGGAATTGTTCCTTGGTTAAAGGAGATCACTGCACAGACAGCAAATATTTACAGACTACAATCCAGGAGGTAACAGCACCTACAGCTTGGTATCCCTCCTGCTACTACCTCTGGGCAGCAAAGCTTTCCACGGCAATGCCTACATCTTTTTCCAAGTTACTACCAGCTGTTCACATCCCAGGAACAGGCTACAGAGGCTCCAACCTTTGTCAAAGCACCACCTTCCAGGCAGTGAATTTAAAGCCAGAGCCAGAAACAGGTCTGCATAGGTTCAGATCTGGTGCTCTGATCTTACTCACTTCAGCTTCAGTTCTGTACGAGTACCCAAATCCGAGGAGAGCTGCTGAATGAGAGAGAGCAGCACTGGCTGGGACAGCGGGCACGGATGCTGTCCAAATACTTGCTGAGTATCCACAGTCTCACAGACATAGAGAACCAGGTTGAGATCAGCTGCTGTAAGAGCCTGCAAAGAAGACACAGCTAGAAATCCAGAGGAAACAACAGGCAGGTGAGGGACACAGGACAGAGCACAAGGCAGCCCTCTGCCTTGGAGCAGCTCAATGGCTTGCCAGCCTCCTCTGAGAGTGGAATTCTCTGCAAACCCTGCTGTACATGTAAGCAGGACCACGTTCAGGCTTTCGGTCTGTACTCAGACGACATCCGTGTCTGTTCCAAGCAAAACAGACCACAACCGGACAGAGGGGAGCAAGTTACAGTTAGCAGCATGGAGCAGGACCATGTTTGCATCCCCTGCCAGCCCATCAGCACGGCATTGCTATTATTCCCAGAGCAGTTAGCCTGCAGCAGCTCAAACAGATCTGCCTACATATACAAAGGCAAAGGCAAGGTCAGGCCCCACCTGGTAGATCTGCCTGGAGAGGCTTATGAAGCTGTTGCTCTTCAGGGGTGCACCACGTGCCACTGCTGATGGCAAAACACTGTGGCTTACTGGAGCGCTGACACTGTCCTGACAGGGCATGGGCACGGAAGAAGGAACTTAACTGCCATCAAACCATGGAACTTGCACTGCTCTGGCCAAACCTGCTTGAGAGCACAACTGCACCCCTCAAGCAGTCTGCTGCCACAGGTCTTTTCAGTCAACTCCTGTATAAGTTGTTGTGGGATTATGTCCTGACCTCAGGGAGCCCTTTTTCCCCCCACTGCATCCCCCAACAAGCAGCAATGCCCACTGCCAGGAAGCCTAGGTACCTGCTGGAAAGCTTGGTTGAGGTGTCCCTGCTGGAGTAGCTGAAGGATGTGAGTTTGCTGAGACTGGAAATCCAAGTGAGCAGAGGGGATTGGAGTCCCAGCCGCCGAGCGCATTGCCTGGACAATACTCGAGGTGACAGCTGCTTGCTGCTCCTTCATAGCCAGGCTCACTTCGCCTTTAATGACTCTCTGCACCTGGGCCAAAATAGACTCCTGCATGCTAAAAAAAAAGCCCCAAAACAAAAAACAAACAGGCATCTCTGAAAATGAAGAGCTGAGGGACTCCATTGCATAAAGCTTGTGCTAGAGAGCAAGCAGAGCCTTGCTTGCTTATTGTAGCATGACTCCCAAAGGGTTAATACAAATTGCTCTGAGGCACAGACATCGGAAACATGCTGCGCAAGGTAGCTCTGTGGTCAACAACACAATGTCCCAGGGTGCATGGAGAAGATGCTGGGATTCTGTGCGGCAAAGTGATGTTTCAGGGAACTAAGTCTCTCATTATATAGCGTTTTAAATCTTTAATGTCTCTGGCTTACAAGCAAGGCTGCTAAGCTGTAGGTTCATCCCCAAATGGGCCCAGCTTTCTACATCCGATCTGTTAGATGCAGTTTCCCAGCCTGCAGATGTCACCTTTAGAATGGGAACACACCTTCACTGAGCCTGGGACTTGTCCACAGAAGACCAGTTCACAGCACAGGCTCCGCTTTACCCCCAAGGGGTGGATTCTCCCCTCAAGCATCAAACCTGCTCTACCACAGGTAGAATAGCAGGACTTCCCTGGGAGCAAGGACAGCCCATGTAACAAAATCAGAATTTAGTCTGGTAGCCTTCCTGACAAGTCTGGTCTGCAAAGACCCGAATGCGCTCTGACATATGTTCTAGTTGCTTAAAATAGACAGGGGCATTCTGCCCTGCAGGTGACCACTGGCCAGTCTTAATGCCTGGCAACCCGCCACCAGCTTCAAGGCATGAATGTGCTAAAGGCACCACCAGGATCACATATTGCAACTAGGATGGCCAAGCACAAATTGCTGCAGGGCAGCTGGGAGGACAGAGTAGCATGCAGAAACTGTTGGTATGCCTGAGGACACAGAGTTAAGATGAAAATCCTTCAAAAGACCAGAAGAACATTTCAGAACAGGAAGGCTAGTCAGAATTGAGTGTACTTTTGGGCTGCCTTAGGTCCTCCTGTCCTCCACCATGCACATGGGACCCTGTGAAAAGCAGGCCCTGGGCTCCCAGATGCAGCAGTGATACAGTTAGTCGTTAGAAACCTGTGGTCTTTGTTTTGTGCCCTACAGGGCAACAGTTACAACAGCCCACATGCTTTGTCATACTGTGCACAGAGCCAACCAGCAGTCCTACAGTAGCAAATGGCTTGTTCCACAGCTAGCAGGGAGAGGTTTTTGTTACACACATGTGTACCTCTCACTGACATCTCTCTCCACAAGCCCAGCTGCCAACTTACTTGCCCACAATAATATGCAGCTGATGCTGCACCTCAGCATGGACGCTGGCTGCGACAGTGGAAGCCAGCTGCTCGGTGGTGCTCTGGAAGGTGCTGATGAGCTGTCGAAGCTGATTCAGCAGCGGGTCCCGGGCCTCCTGTTCTCGTACCTTCTTGTTCTTCAGGTGAGTCTCAAGCTGCTGGATATCTGCAACAAGCAGAGAGGAAGAATGTTTGTGCCATCGGTACCTGTGGTGATAGTCAGGGCAGAAATCCAGCTGCCAGACTCTACACATTCCCCAGCAGAAACAATTACTGAGTGAGTGCACGAGCACAGGAGAGAGGGGAGAATGCACAAGCCTTGTTTGGGGCTGCATTACACTAACCTAGAAACCCTGCTTCCAGCCTCCCCACCATGCAGGATTACATGATACAGCAACAAAGCCATGAGTTCTCTTGCAACAGACCTTTACAGGCACTGTTTGTTCAGGGAAAGCTGAAGGTGGGAGTGAGGGTATTTTGCTTCATACAGAGCATGAGTTGTGATCTGCATTAGTGGCAGAGTTCAATGCCAATGAAGAAAGAGGAGGAACATTTCTGACAAAAAAAAAAAAAATCACATCTGCAGAGATCAAAAAGCTGTATTTTAAAATATTTTATGAACTGGTCTGATCAAAAGGGAGAAGAATGTAAGCTCTATGTACTTGTGGGAGACTTGTGAGGAAGAGGATGGGTGCAGAATAAACAGTAGCTGGAGACACTCTGCAGATCTGTGGACAACAGAAGTTGCTGTGCTAGCACTAGCCAACTTCAGGCCCCCTCAGGAACCAGCTCTACAGCATAATAGCTGCCTGGCCTCCCAGAAGGCCAAGGAACTGGATCCCAAGCCTGCAAACAGGAAAGATCTCCAGTGCGTCAGTGTACAATTTTCCTTACTTAAGGGCATACTTTTATTTTTTCCAGCCTGACCATGCCTACACTCTGTTCAGCCACTGATCATCCCCATACCCTTCTCTAAATCTTCCCCAATCTATTACACCTCTGAGATGAGGACCTAGCTGCAGACCTGCTACCCTCTCCATCCGTCATCTTCCTGATGTCAGGATAGGGTAATCCTGCAGCTGGGCTTTAGTACTCAATAGATGAAGTCACAGATTCACAGAATGAGGCCAAGTGTTTTGCTGCATGGGCTACAAAGACCAGAGGTGAATCTCTCTTCTTATAGCACCACCCACAAAACCCTCCTCACTTCTCTTTCCATTTCCCAAGTGTGAAGTGGAGCACGCAGATGGGCTAAGAGGTTAAACAGTTACTAGTGACACTCTGAAAGGCAAAGACATAAGGCCAACTTGTTGTCAGACACTAACGCAAATAAGCTATGCAGAGAAAACTCAAGAGAAGAAAACCTACTCACATTCCTGTGTGCCCTGCTTGAAGGTGTCATTGATTTGCTGGAACATGGACTGGCAGCTTTTCTCGAAGGCTGGCAACACAACGCTCTGAAATGCTTCCCTGTAAGCTGACTGGATTGGCCCCTGCAAGGTATCGGCCGTTGCCCTCACGATGGTATCTGTAAGGTTCTTACAAGCACACACGGAAGAGATTCCAGAAAATTAAAAACAGCCTGCTGCAGAACAAAGACATGAACAAACCCTGTAGGTCCCTGCAACACACCCACACGAGATAAGGACAGCCCAGTGTCAGAAGCGTGTATTCCCTCAGCTCTTTCCACTGACCAGGCTGCACCATGACTACAGCAGGCAAAGCATCCACTTGCTGAGGGGCTGCCCAAGAACATCACGATTTCCCTGTAGTGCAGCTGTAGAGCAAGGGAAGGTGGCACAGTCAGGCATGGCTCCTTTCTCCTTCCCCTGCTTCCCTCCCACAATCTACCACTCCCTGCCAAGCTAAGTAGCAAGCTTCTACTCCCTAAATAATGTAGAAATGAAGAACAGAGCAGAGAGCAGAAGAGCCAGTTTTGACTGGCTTTCACCACTTGGCTGATTGAGATGGGCCTAAAAGCACCGCTGTAGTGAGAATTCTCTGCTTTAATAGAAAATGAACAACTTGGTAAATGAAAGAAAGGGCTAATGAGGCAAAGTGGGCAGGGGAGTACACAAGCAGCTCACTCTCTGGATGAGACCAGGAAAGAGCTTTGACCACTGGCAGCTAAACTGACCTTACCTGGAGATATAGGTGAGGGGAAGAGGTATGAGGAGTCACTACCCAGGCAGGTGACAACTCAATGTCCCCAAAAGAAGCTACAGTCTGGTTTTCCTTACCTTTGATTTCACTAGCTTGGTAATACTCTCTTTCAATGTCCCCTCAACAGCAGTGAGCTTGGTGGCAACAGTGTTACTTAGCTGGCCAGTGATAGGGTCCATGCTCTTGGAAACGCCTAGGCATAACACAAACACGTCAAAGTTGCAGCTTTAAGCCTAGAGTCACACTTCAAAACTCGAAAAAGAAAACGGAGTCAAACTCTTCTTGGATACGACACAGTGAGGGGCAATGATAACAAGCCCTAGCAATGATGGGGTTGGACATTAGGAGAAACTTTTTGCTAGGAAGGTGGCACAGCTCTGGAAGTCACCAGAGAGGCTGTTGAATCTCCAGCCTTGAAGGTTTTCAAGACTTCCCCCGACAAAGTCACAGCAGATCTAGAATAGTGTGTAGCCCTGCTTCAAGCAGAGTAGTGGACACTAATGGCTGCAGAAGGGTTTCCCGCCAGCGTTTCTTTGAACATTTCCTTACATGGATGGCATAAGTGCATCAAGGAAGGGCAAAGACAAGTTTAAGCTTCCTCTAGTCAAGTCTCAGCATTTCCAAACTCACTAGCCTCTTTTGCCTTCCTCCACCAAACAGACTCCAGAAACTTTATGGATTATAATGGAAGGTCTGACCATGCTCTCTGGAAAGGCATCCCCTCTGGGAGCCTCATACTCCTTCCAAACCACAACTCCTCTTCTCAGATTACAGTGGGGCCTGCACCAGTTTAAAGTGCAATGACTAGTCTTCACATAACTTAACTCCTACTTCATATAGTGCCAGCACTTTTACGCAGCATGCTTTCAATCCCTATGGGGCTAACTGCAGGGATCCACCTTCAAAACCTAGGCAGCAACACTCACACTGGGGTACGGTCTTCTTCATCTCCTCACGAATGGTCCTCTCCAGACGGTTACACACAGCAGTAGAAAGGGACTGAGAGAGCTGCTGAGTCAGATGCTCCTGGAGCTGCCCATTGCGCTGCTGTCCTTCCGTCAGCGCTCGGTCTAGTCTTCTCTCTGATGAGAATGCATGTTAAGGAGCATGAACAACAGATTTCCTCATTACCCTCAACACTTCTGTCCACAAAGATGGGTACTACCCTTGCTTTCAGAGACTCAGTGAGAGCAAATCTGCAGCTCTGGTGAAAGAGGGGTCTAATAACATGGCTGATGTGCTCCTGTAAACAACAGGGTGCTCTTAAACAAAGGATCAGCGTGAGAGAAGAGCTCTGGAAGGTGTGGAAGAAAAGCCAAACAGCTAAAAGAAGCTCAACACCAGCACTCCCTATGTATTGTGGGTTAACTTGGCTGCCCCTGTAGGCAGCTCAGCCCCACACAGCTGCTCACTCACTCTGCATCAGGATGGGGGAGAAAACAGGAAAGGTAGAAGTGAGAAAGCTCACAGGTTGAGATAAAGACAGTTTGACAGGTAATGCAAAAGCTGCACATGCGAGCCAAGCAAAACAAGGAATTAATTTACTGCTTCCCATTGGCAGGCAGGTGTTCAGCAATCCTCAGGAAAGCGGGGCTCCGTCACGTGTAACAAGGACTTGGGAAGATGAACGCCATCATTCTGAATGTCCCCTCTTCCTCCTCCTTTCCCCCAGCTTTTCCTCTGAGCACAACGTCATACGGTATGGGACATCCCTTTGGTCAGCTGGGGTCAGCTGTCCCAGCTGTGTCCCCTCCCTACTTCTTGTCCACCCCCAGCCTGCTCACTGGTGGAGCAGTATGAGAAACAAGAGGCAGCCTTGACAGGGTTTAGCAGTAGCAAAAACATCAGTGTGTTATCAACATTGTTTTGGTCACAAATCCAAAACATACCACCATACCAGCTGCTATGAAGAAAATTAACTCCATCCCAGCCAAAACCACTACAGAAACTAAGAAGCCCAATATCCATAAAAAGCAGATTGGTAGTTTCTACAGGATGGAATTGGTGGACATAAGTGATACAGTGCATGGGAGCAAACCCAGGCTTAATAAAAGCTAGTCATACCTCATGAAGCAACCAAGTTCTCTGAAGAAACCAACACACTGAGATGCATGTGCATCTTAAAAAACAAAACCAGAAACAAACAAAAAACACCCAACAAAACAAACAGTGAAAGGACAATTCAGCTGCTGACAAAATTCAGTGCAGATATGAAGTTATGCAGATAGGTAAAAAATATTCTAATATTGCAGTATAGCTCTAGACTGTGAACTTCAGTAGAAAGTTATCTGAATTATCTTTGAAAATATCAGTCTGATGGTCAAAAAGGAAAATCCAAGACTAATTAATAGAGAAAACAGAAATCCTTGTCATATCATAGAAGTTAAGAGTGGTTTCAGACATGAAACCAGGCTAGAGCTGCTCAGTTTGGGGAACATGACCAAATTCAGTGCAGCAAAAGATGTGCAGGAACTGACTACTCACACTACAATAAAAATAATTGGATACCAAGTCTGAAAATACCACAGGAAAGTACTTTTCAGACAACGCATAAGGGACCTGTGGACCACCAGATGTATATATGGGTAGAGACAAGATAATTCTATATTCAGCTATGCAGTATGGCAGTCAGATATGATTTCTGGTGCAAGTACTGACTTGCCTTAAGGAGGAAAGGATCATCCTATAATTACTCCTGTGCAACTGGCCACTGCCTGACGTAGGATAATGCATTAGGTGCACCTCTAGTCTACTCCAGCATTGCAGCACTTATGGTCTTAATGGGTAACTAGAAGATTCAGTGGCACAGAGAAAGTATCAGTTCTTCTCCATCCTATTTCTGAGTTTCTTGCCCTTAGAAAGGGACTGAGAGGAACTGAACTAGTTATACTGCAGCCAGGCAATTCTACTGCACCTACAGCCCACACTACCAAGATCCTTGAACTTTCTTAGCTTTCCTCATGTCTCTAGTCTGCCTTGCAACCTTCCCCTCCTTAACTGCCACACAGCATTTGCAAACAAGGATACGCTCCTGCTCCTGCTGGGAGTCAATCACCCTCTCCATGTGACCCATAAGGGAACTCTGAATGGCATCAAGGTGATCCGTGAGTCTCTGTAGCAGCTCCATCTGGTTCTGACGCAGCTCAGAGAGCTCCCGCTGTTGGCTCCTCAATATGCACATCAGCTCATCCTGGAACTCTGGTGTCACCTATGCGTGGAGAGGACAAACATTCATTTCTAACAGGATCAGAGGTCAGTCAAGCTTGCTATTAGGTATTACATCAACACCTGTGCCTAGGACTGAAGCATAACATGCAAAGCAGAAAAACAGGGCCAGCTCAATGCCTATTTCTAAGACTTTTGTCCCAAGAAATAAACTGATAAAAGTATATGAAGTTCCCACATGGAATTCATAAATGGTTGCTTAGAATATCCTCAAGTGTTTAGATTCAAGACTCTCTTCAAAGCTCTGGCATCTAAAAGAAAACAGAAGAAAACAGATCCTATTCACTTTTGGCCAGTTACTCAGAGTGTTTACACCTCTGAATGTAAATAATGACCTCAAACGCTTATGAAAAGAGCTGTGCAATCAGTAGAGTAAGAAGGAGGTTCCCAGAGCACTTTTTCAGCTCTTTCACTTACTTACGAATAACTGAACAACTGGAGAAATATACATCTATAGTTCATTATCTCTTGACCTGCTCAAAATATCTAAAGGAGGAATACAGATTATGGGCAGTTTAAAAAGTGTACACAACTCAGCTGAGAGCATTTTCTGCCAGATATGAAGGTACTATCAACAGGGATAAGAAATTCCAACAGGCCAGTCCCACTGTGACTCTTTGCTGGGAACAGCTTATCCTGCTGCTCATGCATGTGAGTTGGCTCAGCAGGGGAGGAAATGAGTGGTAGCATCTTAGATGATATAGAGTTTGTGAGAACACAGAAATACACATTGATATGCAAAGGTGAGAAGGAAGCCATCAGTTTGGAGTAGCTCCTTCTCTCTGTGCAAGTCAGAGAACAGCTCAATGCCAAGTCCAAGCGCAGCCCCATCTCAGCCTGCTTGGGCACAGCAGGGGCCTACAGTACTTCAAGGAACTGGGATGAACCTTCTCTCAGGTCTTTAGTAAGACAGTAAATAGAGCTGAAGCATCATGCCCTTGGGATGGACTACAGAGCAACTCTGACTCACCTGGTTATTAGACGATCTTGGCGACTGGTTCACATCCCTGGAAATGAAAAGAGAAAGAGTAGTAATCCAATTATGTCCATTAACTACTCTTATTATCCAAGCCTTCTGCCAAAACAGATGACACATTTTACAGTTGCTTTAGATTTTACACTCCAGCTCATACTTCCGTTTTGCCTAGTATAACACAAAGAGCAATGGGAAGGTGATGAAATCCCAGTCCTTACAGCACTGACTCCATCATTTGCACCATCCACAGGCCCTGAAGTTCCTTACAGACTGATCCCTTTGCAGGGAGGAAATTTGAACCAAGTCTTAATGAGGACTGTTACAAAGAACAACGCACACTGATTGTTCAGTTTTGTCCAAATTCAAAGTCAGGGAAGGCTTTGCCAAACAGCTTTTGAAGGTCTCCTGATATTTTACAAAGAAAAACCAAGTAGCCATTTGTTAAATATAGAATTAATGAGCTTCAAATCATCTGGAACGATTCCAGCTCTCAAGGTGAAGAAACTAGTGATGCACTCCAGCACATACAGCAGAATAGAAAATAACACCAAACTGATGCACTAATATTGCATGTCTCCATCAAAGTCACAAATCTATGAATATTCAAACACTACCAGAAGGAAAGAAAGCATTTGTTATTCCCAGACAGCATCCATTCAGCAACTTTAAAAGGACTAAGGCAGGAAAAATGAAAGGCATTTCTGAGGCTAAAAGCTTCTGGGTGTCACAGTACAGGACCACAGCCAGAAACTTAATGCCATAGCTCATCTTTGTTGTAATCTGCACAGCCAGAGATCCAAATCACAGAGCTATGGGAACACAAGAAAAGGAGAGAGCCCCATGCAGAAGCTGTGCTGCTCTCCTCACGTTAATGCAGATAGGCTGATCTAATTTGCCATGGGCAGACCTTTCCAGTCATCAATTTTCACTTACAAGACATTCATACGGGCACGTTTAGAAACACACAAAAGCAGCAAGCAGGTAACAAATGAAAGATATTGTTGAACAAGGGCACTGTGCAAGCATTCAAAAGCCAACCAGAAGTGGAGGCCACATTAAGCTACACTCACAGTGTCACAGTTCCAATGAAGCCTTCACTGAAACCAGGAAATGGATCCAGTGTCCCCCCACAATGTGCAATTTACCTCCCACACGTTCTTCTGAAGCCCAGGCTATATTCTGGATTTTGAGTCCCAGCTGGAAAGGTAGTGCAGAACCTACTCCCACACCCCTGAGTGGCAGTCAGTGCCTGAGTAACCAGCAACACTTTCTGCGGGGTTACTGCCATTTGCAAAACAGGGTGAGGGCTGGGAGCACTTGGCCACTGCCCAGCCTCAGACCCTAGTCTCACTGTGAATGGCTATACCAGACTGTGGCCCGGCACAGCTGGTCCCACAGCCACCTGTATTCTGGCAAGCCCAGCATACCCGTCATCTTTCTTGCCCTTCCGCTTTAGCTTTGGGGAAGCCCGGGGGGATGCCTTGGCTTTCCAGTCCTTCACAGGCAGCCTCTGCGTAGATGCTTTGGCACCAAATCCACCTGATGTAGAAGCCAAGCTTGCAACTTCATCATCATGGTCACTATGAAGGAACAGCAGGGGAGAGGACATCACTTGCAATACTGGACAGCATTAGCCTTCACTAAGGGGAGGGGATTCACACTCTGCTCTTCATCCACACATGGCCAGAGTCGTGCAGCTAGGGACACCTGCCACGTTGATCTTTAACAGAGACACCTCTACAGAGCTCAGCACATGCTGCTCCATTTTGATCCAGGTATGCTCAGGTTGAGCTCGAGCGCTGCATAACAAGACTTGAAGGGTCTCTGCATTAGGGACAACTGTGGTTCAGGCAGTGTGGCAGAATGATGCCTGTTCTTGCTGCATATACACACTAGCATATAAGCCCTCAGATGTGACACTGACCCAGCAGGGAACCCAAGCACAGCATGTCCTTAACAGCTTTACAGACAGAAAACACTTAACGCAGCAAGTATTGCGGGAACAGAGGAGAATCAGCTTAGGAAGTATGTGATCCTCAGTACTTTGGAGTGTTTCTGTTACTGACCAGCCACACAATACAGGCTGCACGTTTCAGTCTGAATTTAAGTGTGGATTATGAATGAACCTTCAGCTGTCAAACAGGGCTGAGCTTGCCAGGTGCACAGAATGTGCCCACAGAGCTTTAGGGTGGCTCCTGACGGAGCAAATAGGTCAAAAGCAAGAAACTAACTCCTGAGATACCCTTGCTACCTTATCTAAGGCACAGTATCTGGAAACTGATCCCTTAATAGGTTTTCACTGGTAATTAAACCAAGCTTGGACCATGCTCTTAGGAGCAGTCCAGTCAAACCTTTCCCTACAGAGAATAAATTGGACAATGCCCAGAGGCTCATCTCGTGATCAGCTGAAGTCATCAGAACATTGTGGAAGCTGGACTGCATATGCACATTAAGTCAGGAGACAAAGCAAAGACATTCACCCCACACGTGAAGGCTTGCTGGGGACAGAAGCACGAATGCAGCCTGAACTGAGTCCATGCGGGGCGAGAGAGGGGGCTGAGCACTCTGGTACCTTTGTTCTGCACTAGCATCCTGGCTGTCATGCTGCAGCAGATGGTAACTGTGTCGATGATAGGAAGAGCTCTTGTGCTTTTCTTCAACCTCATCCCTTGGGCTGGGGGAGGAAAAGAAAGAAAATACCATTATGGAAGTCTGTTTCAGCTTGGATATTTGTTCACTCTACTTCTCATGAGAGATCCTGATAGAACGTCTAAAACAAACAAAAACCCCACACCTATCTGCACAGATCCAGAAAGTGGCAGGTGTTGTTTAGAGGCACTAAACACTCAAAATTCTCTATGCGTTTTTCTGGGAGCCTTAAGAAGGGAGAAGCAACTCAGCTATGCTTCAGGCACTAACCAAGAACAATCTCCCAACAGACATTCATGCAAGACAGGTAAGCCACTGCCCAAAATGGGCAGTATAGAGTACTTCAGTGAATAGCATCATCTTGGGTTTGTTTTTCCCCAAGTAATACTGATCACTGGGGCAAAACCCATCAGTGCTTCTCAGTTCTTTCAGGTGTCTGAGGAAGTGTGTGAATTTGATGGGGTAGCTCTACCAGCCAGAACAGAATTGTAACAGTGAATCCAGTCTGAGTTTCACAAAGATTTTGAAAGCAAATTGCACGTGCTTCTAAGCTGTAAACTACATCTATCTGAATTCAGCTTGCAAGAAGATCTTTAGACAGAAGTGAGCACTTGTTACTTTCACATGGGCTGATGGCTTGACTGAGCTGCAATGTGAAAAAAAAACCCACCAAACTCTTGGATCCAGAGATATCTGATCTGATATTCTGATATGAGAAGTCCTGAAGATTTCAAAGACAGAGTGGGATTGAGGGGAGTTGCAAATTCCTATAGCAAATTATGAGCAAAAGCAAAAACACTACATAGAGACACAGCCTCAGTGTCTTTCCCAGAGCCATCAGAATTGAGACCATTTCCTGAAGCAGCATCCTCAGGTGTGGAGGCACAAGGTGCAGCCTTTCTCTTGCAATTCTGATGGGAGGGAACAGCCCTCGATAGTTTAGGGGACAACAACTCTCAGGCTCCTAGTTCTGTTGAAAAGGAAGGTGTTTGCAGGCTCTCATGGTGCATGCAGCCCTGGCCTAGACAGACTCTAGAGGTGCCAGATGCATCTCACTGTTCCTGTCCCACTACAAGACAGAGATACTAATTCTGTGATGCATCCTAGCACTGCTCCAGTATAATAGTTTGCTCCTGGTAAGCAGGCTTATATGATGTTGCCCCATTCTGCATGCCTGCTCCACAGAGACATTGCCATTAATTTTCTGATTTTTAAAGTACTTTATTTATAATGCTAGCTGCAGAGCCACTCCTAGAAGAGAGATATACAATTAACCTATAATCAAATCTGTCAATTATGTGCTAATTGATTCCTTTCAACAAAAGCATGCAGGAACGCATCACCTGGGGCAGAATTTAGCTTGTACTGGTTTTATTTCTAGAGCACACAAAAAAAATATCCCATCTCAAGTCTCCACTCCCAGGTGAACATGAAGGCCAATAAAGTAGACTTTTCACCTTCTTAACAGAGATCCTTTATGCTGCAAGGGGTATTAGAGAGCACAAATTGTTAGAGCTGGCCTAGGAAGTTCAGGACACAGATACACAGACCAAGCACACAAGAAGGTTGAATCGTAAGATCCTTTAAGGAAAGGAGGGATGGTGAACTGCTCTGGTTTAATCACAACATAAGAGCTTTTCACCAAGCTAGCAATTTGGCAAGTGCAAAAAAACTGCCCTAAGCAAGACAAACCCAAGTGATTACCTGTCTGCCATGCTGTTCCTGGTTTCCCTGGTTATGTCAGGAGCTGCTGGCCATGGCTGACTCACAACACTGTCAGAAGATGCATTTTCCTGAGTTAAAGCAGTCTCCAGTAACGATGGAGCATTCAGTCTGTCCACCTCCACTGGAGGCATGTCCAAAGAGTGGTGGCTGTGCTCTGAATTGTGCCGGTTCCTCGGAGACAGCAAATGCAAGGCTGAGGCAGCGGATGCCATACTGTCTGCGTGATGACTGGGCTCCAGCACCTCTGCAGGGAGCCCAGATGGAGCTCCCGCAAAGCTGCGTTGCAAGGTCTCAGAAGCAATCTCTGGGATATCTTGGGACATGGCTGTGGAAGCAGAGGAAATGACGTCTGGCGAGCGCTCACGGGTGGGAGAAGCCTGGGGCACCACCAAGGGCTCCACCTCCTGCAGTTCCAGTGCTAGAGAGGGGTTTCCTGGTGTAACCTGAATTAAAAAAATCAAATAAGAGCCTTCAGGGTAAAGTGGAGACACCCCAAGAACCCCTGGTACTTTACACCAACCACCTCTGGAAACAGCCAGCTGTATCCTTCCCTCAAGTGATCCCTGTGCTCCCACTCTTCAGCAGATGGAGAAGGGCCCCAAAACTTCTAATGGACTCTCAAGTGGGCTAACAACACACTTAAGCCAATGCTAATTTGAACACACTTTCAAAAGAATATCTAACACCAGTTCTACCTCCCTGCTCTGCTCCAGGATCCCTTCTCTTTGAGGGAAAAAGTTAGTTCTAACATTGAATATCTCCTGGACTGAAAGCTTATTTCAGTTGCAAGCTTTGGTCATAATCTATTTTACATCACACCTGGAAAGAAAAATTTAGGAATAGGATATGATTGTTTCAGACCTGTCAGACCAACAAGGAGGAAGAAACCTTTCCAGGTAGCACTGTCTCCTAACACAAAGGCTGACCATGTCTAACCATTGCGATAGTGACAGCACAAGCTAGAGCTGTCGCTAGTTTTCAGAGACATGCTGTTTGACATGAGGCCAAGTACCATTAACACGGGTAAACCTGGCTGCAGATCTGTGCCAGCAGTTGTGTTTTCCAAAGGGCAGAGGCTGGCCCTGTTAATATTCAAGTAAGTCTAATTTCAGCTTGTATAGTCCCGTAGAGAGAGGGCCCTTGGCCATGAGGAGAAGGAAGGGAGCAGCATTTGGAGCCTTACTGGAACAGGTGCCTTTGGTGTTAGCTTGTCAGGCAGGCCTGGGATAAGAACTGAATGGCTCCTAGGACTAGTCTGGAGACTGCTGCTACTGCTACTCAGTGTGAGACTGGTGTCCAGCTGCATCTTGGGGCTCACAGTCAAGTCTTCTGATGGCCTGCAGAAAGCAGAGACACAAACAAATCAAGCAGGCCAACCTAATGACACAGATCTGCATCAAACACTCGGGGTGAGGAGACGGGCTCCACAGGTCAATGGAGAAGCCCAACCCAAACTTCACTAGTATTCTCCAAGTCCTTGGTCTTTCCACCGTGGTCTGCTACCCCCTGTCAACTAGCACCTGCATCTCCTAGTCCCCATACAGCCCAAAGAGATACCAGGTAGAAACAAAACAAAACAAAAAACCCCAAACAAACAAAAAAGAGGGGCATTGCCATCTCTTAGAATTTGAGGGGTCAACTCTGCTCACACTGTACAGAGTTTAGGGAGAAACAGGACACTACAGGGTAGGTCTTTGTCCTTTTCCCAGCCCACAGAAATGAAGTTTTTGCCTGTTATGCAGCCCAACCCACTGCAACACTAGTAAAGTTTTCCTAAGAGTCCCAATTATCTCCCTGTCCTTGGTGGCTGCAGTGTTCTCTTACCTGTAAACAACAACAGCCCTTTGGGAGAAGCATGTAAAGCAACAAAACTGAGATGCAGTAAGAGAATCCCTAGGAGGCACAAATGAAACACTATTGTTGGCCCCTTGGATGACAACAGGCATGCTCCAAGCTACATTAGAGATGCAAACAGTTGCCCGTATAGGGACACTGGGACTCAGGCCGGTTTCTAACTCTGGTTACAAACTCCTCTCCTACAAGATACACTACAGCTCTGCACCACCCTGAAGGACCGTATCAGTTCAGCTGCAGATATATTATTTAATACATGCGCTATTTACCTGGGCATAGAGGCATCTGTGACAGAAGTGCTACTCATGGCTGTGACTGCAGTCAGGGAACTGACACTGCTGCCTGGAGATACAGCGATCTGTAAGAAAAATATACAGCAGTCAGGATGTGACAGAAGAGTCCAACAGCAGAGCTTGACCTGAGAACTCTGGCTTCAGAACTCCTAGAGTTTTTGGCAGAGAGGGAATAGAAAAAAAAAATAGGTTGAGTTGTACTGCTAGGGTGCTCAGGTGCTGGTCAAAGGCAAGCCCCAATATGTCCTCATGACATGAACCACGACTGCTTTTATCAAGCAATTGCTCTCCCAAAATAAAGTGGCATTCTGCAGGGGTCCGCACCAGATCCCCATTTTCTTCTTTGAGCTAGACTGCTCTTGTAAAGGTGTGCTGCCACTAGTGAGGCCAGAGTCTGTACGGATTTTAGGTCCTGTACTGCTGATATGCAGAAGTAGAATACTCCAATGCACAAGAAGAGGTATTGCTCATCTAGCTAGCTGGCTAGCAGTGAAGAGCACAGGGGGATATGCTGGCCCCCACTGCTGCTTCTGGCTACCAAGAAACACCTACACAGAACACCAACATAAGCACACAAGTACTCAGCTGGGAAAGCCGGTGTGGCCAAGCTTCTTACGCTTGACAGTGCTTATGGCAGAGAGCAGAGATTGAGCTAAACTCAAGGCTCTGTCCACCCTACAGTACTCCTAGGTGCTGGTGCCAGCAGGAAAAAGCCTGCCATAAAATAGGTTGCAGTAAAAAGCCAGGTTTAAACCGAACAGTTACACTGTTTACACTGAAGAGTGAGCTGCTCCTTGCAGCAAACAGTATGTGCAACCATCACCTCATCAACAACTTCTCTCTGCTCCCTTAGGACATCTTTGCATTGGGAAGGCTACCCACCCTCAGGCACAAAACTAATTTCTGCACTCAGCAACTTTGCCAGCAACATCAAAACCTTTAGGAGGAGTTTAATTTATTCTTTGCTCCCCAGGTTGTCGCCAGGGTCGCTCTCTCTCATTAGTCAACTCAGCACAATCTCCATTTCTGATCATCTCCATGTGCTGTCCATCCTCATCCAGGCTCCTCCAGTACACATTCAAGCTGTGGTGACAACCATGCGTTCCTCCCTTGGAGGGAGAAGCCCTGCCTTAGGATGTGTATGTGGAGCGCTGCTCACAAGCACTCTCCTCCTTGCCTGTAAGAACTGTATCATCACAGCAAATAACTGCTGACTGTTCATTTCTCATGGGAATGCAGACACAAAGAGCACAGCTTCTCACCAGTGGAATCCACACCTTGTAATTAAGTTGCAGATCACTTTCCTTAAAGGATGCACTTTAAAAAATACTTTTTAATTTACGTGTACTCCCATTCTAAAAGGACATAGAGAAAACTACACAGCCACAAATTCAGTACAGAGATTCAGTACAAATTCAGTACAGAGGCAGGCTATAAAGCAAGAATATCTGAGTGGGTTTAAGACAAACTAACATGACACTGGGATGCAGAGTGGCCAAGCAACAGTGAGCTCCTGCACTACTGCTTGTTGGCATGAACAACAAGGGGCAGCAGAAACCTGTGCTGAGTCAGACAGATGCACACTGTCAGTGCCAGACAGCCCCTAGAAATGCCCAGCAGGACCCAACGGTGGGTGCCGCAGCACTGCTGGCCATGCACATGTGACAGAACATCAAGAGGAATTCTGTATTTTCTGACTGGTCCATTAGAGCTCCACTGAGGAGTAAATGCTTGCTTATGGCTCTTCACCAAGACACTTTGCTATCCTTTGCAGACATCACCAAATCCCAAGGAATGCTTCGCATGCTTCCTGATACCGAAAATCCCTGGTGCAAGCACAGATGACTTGCCTTCTGTACAAGTTAAAGCCTGTTGTATTAGATTCAAAAAACCCCACCAAGCTACTGGATCGATGATTTGTAGATCTCATGCAGAAGATATTATGGTCCCATCTACCTACCTGATCATCAGACATGCATCCCACAGGATCCCACAAGACAGGATGTGCAGAGATGGCATATTTTCTTCCATTATAGTTATATCACAACCCCAAACAACATGTGTAAACCAGTAAGAGCAGTCTTCCAGCTTAGGTACAGTTATTTAGCAAACCCGTATTCCTACACAACACAGCCAAATCAGCAGTTTTGCAGCTAAACACAGCACTCGCAACACAAGCTTAGGCCAGCTTAGCATTTTAGATGTGCCAACGTCTTTACTCAGCTTCGCTACCTGCACAGTTTCCTGCGTGCTCTGCAGTCCGCTACTTTAGCCTATCAGAGTCATTACTGCCTAGAAAAAGTTCCCGAAAGTATCAAAATCCAAACCCACCCTTTGTACCCCAAAACAGTGCTGCTCTCTGGTTACCTGTTGAAGAGATGTACTTGGTGTCATGAATGCATCTGGAGTCATCAGCTTAGGTTTGGCATCGTTTGAGAGAGAAAGGAAGTCTGCTGGTACAGGCAGATCAGCAATACGCCGCAGGTCTGGTTGAGAGCCATGCACCGATCCTTTTCTAGACCCCAGCCCTTCTGTACTTAGATCAGCCATGTGGTCTGGAAAGGCTTCCAAGGGAGAAATACAAATCAATTTGCAGGAACTTTCCCCAAAAGCTAAAGCTTTAATTCCACAAAGTATGAACTTATGCCATTGCTAGCCATACAAGCAAAGAACAAGCAAAAACTCTGCAACACCACAGTCAAAGCTTAGGGCTAGGCAAATCCTGTGTTATGCTTACTCTTCATATGCTAAAGAGTGGATGTTATCAGGCTTTGATAATAAGAGATCCAAGCTTCCTTTCTTCCCTAGACTTAAGGCCAGTTTAACAGCCACATCCCAGAATGGCGAATGAACTGAAAGAACACACTACTCACAGCCCAGTCCCCTCTACTCCCAAAGCTCTGGTGTCACTCTAATCTCTTCTGCCTGACAAGAGAAAAATGTCAAGTTTCTGGCACAAGTGCTAAATCACCTAGCAAGGTGAACTCAAGCATGCACAAAGCATTAGCGCTCCCAGCCTAACATGTCCCCCTGCTCCATACTCACACCAGTGTCTAATCAAGTGGCCTGCTTCACAGCTAGTCCATATTCAGAATCCTTTACGCAATGACACCATTCTATTACAAAGACACACCTAAAGCTGCCCTCCTGCTGTCCCCCCATCAACAACCTTTAAAGGCTCAGCAATGGTGAAGATCGTCTGAATACAAATGCTCACCAAATTCTTCATGAGAGCCATGGGAAGGCATGGATGCACTCATGTCAGGACTATGAAGAGGCTGGAATCTAATCTGCACATCCTGTAGGGCCCTGAAAAAAGAAAAAGGGCATCTCTGATTAGTTTATGAATCACCAGGAAAAATCTAATGCTTAGAAGATTCCTCTTCATAGAGCTGATTCCCTTGGAATATGCTTTAGTGTCTTCTGTGACAGAAGCAGCAGAAGCTGATCCTCACTCAGCTGTGTCACCCAGTTCTGGCACCCAGAGCATTCGAGAGATGCTTCCCAGCACTTACACATGAGCACAACTCTTAAGTCACTGCATACTCATGGTGACAAAAATACTAGCTTGCCACAGCACCACACAGGGCTACTTCCTGGTAAGGCCATACTGAACACAGGACAGCTAGAAGTTTCTATGGGTTCAAACAGTTTTTGTTATGAGCAAAAGGAATTGCTAAATCAAATTTCTACAGGTCAGTGCAGGATTAGGACAACCACAGACAGCTGCCCATGGCAGCTACTACACATACTCACTTGGTGTGCACACAGAAGAGTTTTATCAGCACGCCTGCTGCTGATTCAACAGCCCCAGCTCCCTGAGCACCTTCTGGAAGCAAGACAAAAGTAAAACATGAAGTTGGATGGAAACTGCAAACAAAGTACTAAAAAATCACCATAGCAGATGAACCAGCAGCAGAGAACCAGCATGATACAGCTTCATCACCTCTCCACTTCGGTGGTGGATTCACCCTGTTAAGGGAAAGTATATCCTACACTCCCTTTACTTTTCAAAGTGAGAGCAATCAAATTTGCTCTAATCCAGCCAAATATACCTCAAGGAAGAGAAAAAAAAGATAAAAAGAAAAAAAGGTAAACAGGAGGAAGCTGAGGTCTGGAACTGCCAGCGATTTGTTCTTGCTGTTGAAAATACATCCAACCAGTCATTTAAGAGACACACACTAGCTTATGTTGTACAGACATTCAGACCAGGGCTCAACCATCCTTCCTGGCTGTAAATAACTACAGTTATGAAGAGCTCTGCAATAACTTCCCATCAGCCAGTGCTGACAACATTCACCCAAGACCTGTATCAGTCTCACTGCTAACAAAGCTAAGGAGGCTGAGTAGAAAAGATAAACCTAACTCCCCACCGAAAAAAAAAAGTATTAGGCATTCCTATGCAAATTGTCCTAATTATTTGAGCACCAATCAGGGACCTGAAGTTTCAGTCCCAGTCTGCTCCTGACTTGCTACATGTATCAGTCATTTCTACTTCTGCATTTCAGAGCAATATGCCACAAATATTGACAACAACATGAATTAACTATTATTATGTACAATAATAGGCATAGGGAAGCACACCATACAGCTGTACTGATAAGCCCAGGAATCTTTCTAACAGTAAACACACTGATATTATTCAAAGCATCTTTCCAAATTTTACTAACAGAAAGGTGGGAGATCAGGAGCAAGCCAACAGCTGAAGAGAGGCAGTGATCAAGGAATGCTTGCATGGAACAGTTCTCCACAGGATTCACTATCATACTCATTGTAGTAACAGCCAGAGAAGACATCTCAGGTGTCTCTCCTCTGTAAGAGTTACTTGTTAATTTCTTCTACAAGAAGCTTTGTGGCTTGGCACTATGCCTTCCAGACACAATGGAGAACCACCACACCTTTTCCTTCAACTCAGACTGTGTACTGTCCTCACATCTGTCAGGCTCAGGGAGCACAATTCAGAAGCAACCAATTGGTTTCTCAGACCATATGCTCACATCTCTGATGTTAAACTACACAGAGTTTACTCAGGCAAGCAGTCACAGAAATATATCCTGCCATTTCTTCCAGGAGCTCTTCTGCTCCTGTGAACTGCATCAAACTGTGCTGGAGAGGGACTCAGGCTTACGCTGCCAGAAGCCCCCTGTGTTCTGCTGGGGGCGATGACGCTATGCGATCTCAAAAGCATCATGGCTCAGATACCAAGCAGCTAATCTTGTACCTTCACCGAAGCGTCACTTGCAGTCACTTCAGCCTGCACGGCCCTGGAATGCTTTTTAATAACAGAAACACCTCAGCAGAGTTTCTGTGTGGTAAGGGGCAATGGCTACAATCTGGGTTGGGAGGTCCAGGTTGGATATTAGGAATACATTTTCTTTAGGAAAGGATGCAGCCCTGGGATAGGGCACCAGAGTAGAGCCAGAAATGTCATGTTTAGGGGCCTTCAACTCACAACTAGATGAAGCCATAGGTAACCCAATATACCACCAGCAATAGTCCTGCTTCAAGCAGCAGGTTGGACCAGAGACTTCCAGAGGTCCTTTGTATCCAGCTCCACAGTGCCTCTCTGAAGCACTTTAGCTGCACAGTATGTATTTCATACAGACTAAGAGAAGAGAGTCAGCCTTTCATGAGAAAGCCAGTCAAGAAAGGCATCCTGATCTCACAGCAGGCAAATTCTCTTCGTCACCTACCTACACTCAAGTTGTCATTTTCCTCTTCTGCTGGGAGCACTTCAGTGTGCCTTAACCGACAGCGGCTCACTGCCTGGATACCAAAGCTTAGGACTGGGTGGGTAAGGAGGAACTCTGAGATGGAGCTGAAGTAAGCTTTACCCTCCTCTTGGTTCTGCATCAGCTCCATCACATACAAGACCTGGAAGAATGAGAAACAGTAAGTCACTGGGCTTTCAGAGCAGACCATGCATACGTGTGTGTGGACTACAAAGCCTAGCTCCTGAAAGAGATTTGGAACAATGGGAATAATGTGAAGAATAAAGCCTGGGGCTTTTAAATTTGAAACTAAACACCCAAGGGAACCACAATAAGCACACTCCTATCTGAGTCAACATTGATCAGGAACTCAATCCTACTGTGTCAGACACAGGTTCCTCCAAATGAACGCTTTACTTTAGGGTGAGAAGTAATACTTAAGGCTCCCATTCGTCATCTTATGGTGAAGTAGCTGAGGCCCACCTCTGCATTTTTAGCTATTAACGTGCAAATCCTAGACCTAGGCAGCAGAATCAGTCACACAGATGGCCATTTCTCCTTCTGTCACTATTACCCACACAGCCAGCAATAAAATGAACCACCTACTTTTCTCTGCACATCACTCAGTATCAGATATTCAGCAGAGAGGTCCAGGCAGACTTTCAGACTGGGAAGAATACTCATGGAGCTGAAGATGTCAGGAGAAAAGCTGGATCCACAAATAAGAAGTGGGGGAAGGGGGGATGCAGAAAGCAAGGTAAATTAGCACAACCGGAATGACTGCTATGAAACTGCATAAGTTTAAAAAAAAAAAAAAAACAAAAAAAACCCACCACCTTAAGGAGTTTACAGGCATATTACAGTGCAACCACCCACTAGAACAAAAACATCACTGCAGAAATCAGTGCTGACTTCAGCTAAGAGACTTCATCAGGGACATCACACAATAGGATCTAGATTCTGAACCTTTAAAGGAAAGATGACAGTTTGTCATTACTTAACATGGTCCACATTCATAGGAGGACAAGAGCCAATGCTACAGATTTAAAAACAAAAATCCACCAAACCAATAACCCTTCTATAGGTTTTGGACCTTCTGTAGTATGAGGTAGAAAAAGCAGCACTTGGCTGTATGCCATATTCTTCTCACTTTAAGAGGACAATTCAGAAGTGGCCTTACATGTGCATGTGATCAGAGAGGCCACAGTTCACCAGCAGAAAAGTAAAATCAGGGAACATAAGCTGAGCGAAGGGATGGACTAAAGCAGAATTTCAACTTCTGGACCTATGTGGCTCAGCAAATAAGCCTTGTATAATTGCTTATGCTCTGTCAACATAGCAGCTTCTCATTATTTATATCACAAAAAGCAGTAATAGGAAAAGATCTTAGATTGGTTATTGAATATCTAGTATTTTTACAGAAGAAAGCACTCAAGGAGTGCAATTTTGGAATGCCTCTCCTCATGCTACAGGTATGTCTATGCTCTTACAGACCAAAGCAAAGACAACAGGTCTTGGTAACACCAAGGAGACTGTGTAAAAGGATCAACCTCCCCGCCCTTGCCAAAGCTTGACCTGACAGTCACCTGACAGGCCACAGCCCTGATAGTTTTCAATAGATAGGTCAGACTGGCAAAGGAGGAGGCTCTAGCTGGGGCTAGACTAGACTCCATCAGAGATCAAGGATTACCTTTGCAAAGTAAATATACCTGGAAATTGAGAGCTTTGTTACAATCCACTGCTCAAAGTAAATCCAACCCTTCAGCGGAGTCGGCCTATCAACACCTACCGGACAGTTTGCAGACAGGTCCAAGACACAGTGCACCACATCTTCAGTTCTCTATTCTGATCTGCTCCTGTGATGAGAAATCTCCAGAATGGAACCCTGCAGGCACAACAGAATTAAGTTGTCTTAAAGTAAGATCTGGTTCTTCCCATAAAAACATTTCACAGGAAAGTTCCTCAAAAGCTGCCCATAGCTGATTTTGCCCAACCATGTCTTAAAGTTCCTAGAAAATCTCTGCTTTTGAGGCAGATTAGAAACCACTGTAGCTCTCAAGAACCTTAAGGCCACAACTGACTGAAGAAAGAATAAAAATTAAAAAAAAAAAACAAACAAACCAAAAGAAAACACAAACCAAAACAAAACAGTTACTTTTTAATCAGCTGCAGTAAAAATTTGAAAGCTAACAGGCCAGTCAAAACTGACCATACCACAAACCAGAAAGGACTCATCAATTTAGAATTTTCATTGCTTTCATGGAATTGACACTAGGATTGAGGTCACTTTAGGCTGTGCTCCAGAGCCTTATTTATTTCTCCATCACTAGAAAACTGACTACAAAGAGGACAGGACTTGCTCCTGCCACAACACTAAATTTTTACAAGTACAACGCAGTTACAAGGAACCCTCCAAAGGCAGAGTTAGAAGACACTACTAAACTTTGATACTCTAAGTACAGGATTAGGGACTTACTCTGGGTCTTGTTTTTTATGGTTGTCACAGAAGAGCAGGCAGGAAAGAGGCCTACCATCATGGGGTTTCCACTCATGAAGACACCTAGGAAAGAATCAGAAAAGACTGAGTGTGCAGTAAGTAGTAAATAAGGAATATATAAGGTGGGTGCTGAACATATTACCCCTTGTCTAAAGACAGTTAAGCCAGCAGCCACCAAGTGTTATCAGCTTGTAGCTGTTTACAGGCTTATATAAAATAAGGAGATCACAGCCCATGCAGCCATAGATTGTGACACCCAGGAACAGCTCAGAGAAGCTTACTGCATTTACAGGGACAGTGCAAAAGTTTGACTACAGCCTGTGCAAAGCACAGAACTTCGGCTTCCAGACACAGCTCTCTGCTTTTTTTCCTAAGGTTACCAAACCTTGAGCATATGTGATATTCAGTGATACAACTCTTCAGCAACAAATTACTTTACAAACATACACTCTATTTCTTTGTAACGTCCTGAGAATGACCATCACAGGTAATTCTGTAACAAGGAAATTCTCACAGAGAAAATGCTGGTCTTTGTTCCAAGATCCTTCATTTTCTAATTCTCCAGTTACCTTGGCTCGTCTTGCCCCTCAATATAGATCTGCCAGAATTTGACAAAACCATCATGGCTTGCTGTGGCCAACACAGTTCCATCTGGAGAAAGTGCTCCCTCACTCAGGTACTACATAGAGGGGAGGGAAAAAGAGACAGAGAAGTCATTTTATAGCTTTTTTTATTTCACAGGAAGAAAGAGTAGTCTCTTCAAACAGGAATTTGACCAACAGTCTGATAGTACAGGAGGTCAGAGTAATTTCTATCAGAAGTACAGCCCAGGTTGTCAAACAGGCCCTTGGAAATACAGGTGAGTTTTTTCAAGAGCCATTTTCAAAGCAAATGACTACACATTCACCTTGGCTCTTTAAGCAAAGGTTATTTACCCACAGTGTGTGTACATAGCCAGCAGCTTGTGGGTGATGATATGGACGAGTAAAAAACTGGGGTTTTTTTACAGCCCACTGTCCTAAGAACTGCAGCTCCTGAGACACTATAACCCAAAGAAAACCTACATGATCTGTAGCAATCACCTATGCGACAGCAGTAAAGAAAACAAAATAGGTTTATACCGTGCTGTGGCCTTTCACTACTATGAAGCCTTCTTTGATGCTAGGGACTTCCACTGGCCAGGAGCTGTGGTTCGTTCGGATAATGTCCAAATCCCACACCTCTGCCTGGAAAACAAACATGTAGGCACACAGGTTTATATCTACAACTACTGGTCTGATGCAGTAGAGAATTTCTTATATCCTTACTGTATATCCTGACACACCAGCCCAATGGCCAGCATGTGTCATAAACCTTCCCATTTCCACCTGATATGGCCATTAGATGCTTTTCTGGCACCCAGCCGTACAAAAGTATGCGGAACTGCTCTTGGCAGTTGTAGTTGCTGCTCACCAAGCCCCCTCCCCTAGGTACTGGCTCAGCCTGAACAGACAAGTGATGCCTCTGGCCCTCCACACTATTTCTAGTGATCCTCGCTATTTGATGGCGAGCAGAAGTTACCACTTTCCATCCTCCTGAGGCCCAGAAAAGGATCAGTATGGCCTCTCCTCAGAAGAGGGAATCCTGCATCTCATATTACAGGAGGGTCCCCAACATAGACTAGACAGGAGCCTTTACAACTCTAACCGTATCAGCTCTTTCCTTCATTAGATTCTCCCCCTCTAATGATAACAAGGGACAACGTTTCAAAAGTAGGGTTTCCTTACCCTGTCCTCATGTAACAACGCCAACGTTTGACTTCCCTCTTCACCACTCTCCTCATTATCATCTGGGATGAAAGGGCACCAGATGATTCTTCGAGAGGTGTTCAATGGGGTATTGTCAGGTCTCTTGATGTTAACCAAGATCTCCTCTCTGATCACCATGGTTAAGAAATGTAACATTCTGGCTGTGTTACTAATACTCAGCAATAACCTATTCAGGCTTGGTCCTCTGTTAAATACTATTAAACCTCAAGATTTTTTGAATCACTGTGATTCAAAAAGAAAACAGGTAAAAGGATTCTGCTAAGAAAGCACACAAGCTAGCGTTTCTTCACTAGCAGAAGAGATTAAGCTTACAAAAGTTAATAGATTCTCAGAATTTTCTCTTGCAGGCTGCAGGCAGGGACAGGATAAGCATGAGAGGGGCACACAGCCACATCTGAATGTGCAATCCATGTGACTGCTGATGGACAGATTAAATTATTTCAGCTAGCATTGCAACGCTACCATGGAAGGACAAAAAAGCTACCACGTTGCCTCAGGCTGAGTGCTCTAGTCCACCCCTACAAATCAGATCTTAACTACAACCACCTTTGCTCCAGTTGCTTTTGAAATGATGGTATACAATTAAAATGAAGATGCCACAACCTAAGACGACATATCCCACAGACTAACGTGCCTCCCAAAAGCACTAAGCAGTCACTCCTAGCAACTAAAAGGAAAAGATTTAGGGCAATGAGTCAAACACTGGAATTAAATTTCAGGACTACCAAAAGAAGGATGACAGGTTTGGAAGGAAGATAGCGAGTGGGAGGGATGTATTACATCTTCCTCCCCAGAAAAGTAAAAGTAATGGAGGAAAAGAGCTAGAACCAGACAACCATGAGTAGAAAACTCCGTCACATGGTCGAGGTGACACTGTCCATGTGTAAGGCCAGCTAGTACAGACTGACACTTCTCACTGACTACTTTTGCCTGAACCAGAAGGAGCACTAAGGCATCACTGCTAGAATTTAAAGTTACATGCAATTTCAAGTAATAATTGTGCTGAATACAGGCACAGGTTGACTGATTTGATACTCTGGAAGGGGTAGAACTATCGACCTTCCCCCTGCAAGCTGCTGTTCTGGAAAGGCTACAAAATAAGTTGCAATGTTGAGGTCGCATTCACATCAAGCCACTACACAAAGACTGATATGAGGCATATTTTGACAAGATACTGGATTTTTTCTTTATCCATGGCCAGGCGCCAGACAAAAAGGTTGCCAGCCTCATCCAGGCATGCCAGCTGGTTGGAGTTGAGATGAGCAAAAGCCAGGTCTGCCACACCGCCTGTGAATCCCTTCAGCAAGGTCCGCTCAGCAGTACTGACGCTCAACACTCGCACCATAGCGGAGCCATTACTGGCAGCTGCAGAAAAGACAGAGGGAGAAGTCACCATTTATCTGTGCAGTTTTTCCACAGGACTGCCTTTGTTTCCAGTCATCGGCTTGTCATTTCCAGCACCCATCCTGCCATCAGCTGTGACTGGCAGCACACTGAAAATTCATATCAATAGATACCATGTTAACAAGCCCTTGCAAGACCCAGGGTACATGCACAAATATTCACTGCACTTTTCAGGTTTGGCACAGAAGATTGGAACGGCAGCATCAAGAAGGACTTTGCCTGGGGCAAGCTTAATTCCCTGTGTCTTGTTTTTGAACACCGCAAATTCTAAGTTGTTCTACTTAAAAAGAAGGCAACAGAAGCTGACTTCTCATAATTCCCAGGATTATTCTCATGAAGATGCCTTCATTAAATGCAAGACCTAAATCTTTATCCTGAGCTCATGATAAAGCTACCAAACTTCCAACAATGACCTCCAGCTATAGTGAATTAATTTTAATTGCAATTTCACTGAGAGGCAGGTAGCTCAAATGCATGCTCTACAAGGGGAATGCAAAAAGCATAAACATTCACCTGGCAAAAAGCACTGCTTTTTGGCTTGCGTGACTGAAAAGGACATGCTTTAGAGCATGCACATACCAAGCAAAGTTTCCAGCTTCCCCACTTCAGACAAACATAATGCAGGCAGTCTTATGGAGACCATCTTGCTTCCACTTCTTAATGCCCAAGCCAGCCCTAGCAGACCACTCAGCTTTCCATAGCGTTACTCACCCAAGCTTTAATATTTTAAAAAAGGGTGAGACACCCTAAAGCTGTCCTAAAAGAACCTCAGCTAGGAAATCACACAGAAGCAGAGTGGTAGATTTCATAAAAGGCCAGACAAACTGACAGGTGCTAGAACTAAGAAGAAAGGGAAGAGCTGATGGAGGCCCAGACACTGCATGCTTGTATGAGAGCAGAAAGACACATTGCAGATGATCAAGTGTTCATTTATTTCATATATGTTGTGAAACAATCTTTCCCTATGCTGTTCTGCTTTTCTCTTCCTTCCTACTGCAAAATACACTGCATCTGCATTGCTCTTTGGCTCCTCTAAATCAAGCCTTAAACACAACTCTAAATTTATGCAAGCAAATCCATCACAAACATTTATCTGCTCAAATTACCACAGGGCTGTTTCTGTGCTTAGCTACACAGAAGCTTGTCTGCTGTAGTAATCTGAACATCAGCTTACTGTCCAGTGAAACCAATGCAGTCCTTCAACTTTTCCTCCATCCTCACTGATTCCTTCTCTTTCTTTTATTTCTAACTTCAGAAAAGCTTTCTTTCTCAGTGGAAACTCTCCTACACAACCAACTCTTCTCTCCCCCGTAGCTCCAGCTTCACTTACATTCCCACTACAACACCAGCCTGATGCGGGTATTGCAAAATGTGTTTCAATTATTGCCCCTTGTCCAAAGACAGCATTAAGCCAGCAACCACCAAGTGTTATCAGCTTGTAGCTGACAGAATACAAATCACATGCAAGACAAGAAGGTATCTCACCTCTAATGGCATAAGCCAGGTAAGAGTTTGAAACAGCTATCAGATTGCCGTAATAGTATTTCTGCTCCCAGTCATACCTAGCAACAGGCTGTATTTTCACCTGCTCGGGAGAAAAAACAAAACATGAGAAATGTCTGGAATTAACTTCTTCTTGGAACAAACCTGCCAAATATACAATTTCCTCTAGCGAAGATCTGTAATGCTTGATAGGAAACTGTTAGAAGCAGCAGTTGGTAAGAAGAATTGCACATTGAATGCCAAGTAGCAGAGCCCTGAACTCTGAACCTCCAGAGTTCTGGAGGTTGAGGAATATTTCCTTGCATTGCAAGAAGGAATGCAACTCACTGAATCTGTCATGCTGCAGAACAACACTTGACCCTGCAACTGCAGCAAAGCAGGCTTTATCTCTTTATTAGCACTGTGTCTGTTTTCCCAGTTCTTGGAAATTTCTTTGAAATATAAAAAACACATTTGCTGCATGGGCACTTGCTTTTTAGTTTTAATACTGCTTTCCAAGAAAGTGAGAGTCCTGGTCTTATTTGATAAGCATTACCTCTGTGAGCAAAGAATACAGAAATTATGGCAGTGATCCTCCCTTTCATTTTTATCTTCAGTATTATCTATGAAAAACAATGATAACATGGCACAGTATTCATTTACTATCTCTGCAGTCCCTTAATTCACTGCACATTAAGAAACAAAATTATATAATATGGAAAAGGGCTGAGAGGATCAAGACCGGAGCTCTCTCTCCTATTACTAGCATTTGCTCTGAGCATGTCTTGGTACTCTGCCACAGCACTAGTTCGAATCTCAGCGTCTTGGTTCTTCTGCAGCTCTGATCTGTTGGGTAGAGCCCTCAGCAGGACTGAGGCTAGCGAACTATCAAGAGCAACTCTCCCTCCATAGTGAAGACCTTTCAGTGAAGAAACATTCAGCAGAAAAAGCTTGTTTGTGAAGGAAGGCCACTTTCCCAGGAACCTACAACTTAGATCATGGACTTATTCCCAAAAATTGGAGGATAACTTGGCCAAACTCTGCAATAACAATAACAATCAGCTACAAGATACTGCTCCAATTTTCCCCCCGCTTGTTAAGCTTTTTGACAAACTGCTACCTAATTAAAAGCTCCTATAACACAGGAAAGGAGATCATAATTTCTGTTTAAAATAGTCAAGTACAAGCTGATGTGACTAAAAAAAAAAAAAAAAAAAAAGAGACAGAACTATGCTTTCTCTTGCTCCTTACCTTGTTACTCCCTCTGGCCTTACTAGTGATGCTGGAATCACTGCTGGCTACTATCTCCACATCTTTTGCCGATATCACCACGCAAGTGGAGCTGTCATCACCAGAAAGGCAGCTTTTAAGAAAAACAAAGGGGAAAAAAAAATCAGACAGGATTCGCAGGAAGAGAACAGAGGTCAGATATTTGTTATTTATAATTTTAACAGCACTGCAGAAGGAGTATCTGAGCATCTATGAGGTTTGAGCTGAACAACTGAAAACAGAAACTACTTTCAGTTAAGTCTCCCTTCCTCACATGTTACAGGTTTGACAGCACCAAACAGCTGGTTTGTTCAGCTTAAGAACCTCCAGCCTATTTGACTTGAGCACAGACTTACATTTGGTTAAAGTAGCCTTGACTACTATCCAACATTGGAAAGTGCAAAGAGACCAAAGCCAACCAGCTGAACCTCATCAACAACAGTGCATGCTGCTCACGGTTCTCACAGCACCCTCTCTCAAAACTATGACCAGAGAACCCGAACAAAAGCTATTTACACAAGCTCTAATGTTAAGACTCAGCACATAAAGCCAAGCATTACGCTAAATAGACTGATGTGAATTTGTAGTTGTGGATTTACATTATTACTCCCGTGACAAATCCAAAGTATTCTATATGCATACGTTCTCTTGCATATAAGCAGTAAAAACATATGTACTGTCCAAAACACTCCGATGTACACGTACAACTCAGCAAGGAGTTAGGTAGAAATCTAGCTCAGGATCATTTGTCCTGTTTTAAGTTATGTGGAGACAAATACTTTGACAAGTGCAAGGTCTACCATACTGCAAACTGGTATAAGTTACCCCTCACGTAACTTGGGTCCCTGAAGGAGTCCAGATGGAGGTCTACATGAGAACACTAAGTTTCACCCAGAGCCCTGCTAATTTACCTCCATCCTGACTTGCAATGTCCATCACACCCCCAGTCATGTTCCCCTTCTCTCTAAACAACTCTAATATTCTTCAGTTCCTGAGCAGCAAGGATGGCAGGCTCCATGCATCAGCCTCACAAAAGCTACAAAACCTCTGACCAACAGCATGGACTCACAACTGTCACCTGAACTCAATGTAAAACTCATTGTCAGATTCAGCATGCTTGTTCAGGCTCAGCAGAACTAATTTTTAACAGTTTTCTATTTACTCTTGGCCTTTTTTCGACAAAACTTACATGACTTGCTTCTCCTGCAGGGCTCCCAAAGAAATGCTGCGATGCACTGGCTTAGCCAAAGAAGGTCCATCTCCAGCCACGATGGGATCAGGCACCAGAAGTCCATTCAGGTCTCCGTTATATGAATTTGATGGTCTCTGGTTCTCATTCACTGAACCTAGGGAAAAGCATGGCCAACTGTGCGCAATATCCATTTAAAAGAAACAGCAATATGTAAAATACACTACCTCCAGAAGTTTTCTGTCAGGTTCTACTGGTCTATCAGATAGAATATGAGGAATTGGTTGGGAAAAGTTTTCTTTTCCAAAAAGGATGTGTAAGAGACCTCCCGTGTAAGAAACTTATCTCCACACAAACAAGTGAAGCCATAGCTCTTTTCTTAAACAAGCAATCCCAGCAGACCAGAAAAACCACCAAAGAACAGGTACAAGGAACTTACCAGGTTCAAGGAGCAAATAGTCCTGCATCAGAAAGACTAAGCTGGTAACTCAGATTTACTGAATCAAGTGCCAGACCAAAGGGTTCTTGAAGGGTCATTTCCAACCCTCATGCCTGCAGAGAGATCTCTGAAGTCCAGCAATACAGTGGTTAGCTGCAACATTTGGGGTTGGGTGGAAGTAATACATTTGTTACTTTCCAAAAACGGCTTCTAACTGAGACCTGACCTCAAAGTCCAGGTGTTTGAGTAACTGAGCTATGAAACTGTGCAGCTGTGCCTACGGGATTCCCATACTTTTCCCTTGGTCGACTAATCACACAGAAGTTTCCAGCACCCAAGTTTTGCGTAAAGCAACCAAGTGTTCAGAGCTTCAGCTGTGCTTTGAAGAGTGCGTTTGCCCTGACTTCATATATTTGGCCTAACACAAGTTGCCTGGTGGCCTCCATGCCTTCTGAAGGCTTTTAGAAGGGGACAGATGTAACAGGGGGTGAAGGAGACTCTTCTATTTCACTAGCAAGGTAAATAGTTGACGATCCCCATTGGAGAGCAAGCCCACTCCATCTGCACTTACACATCAGTACACCGAAGTCAAAGCCTCCTGTCTCAGCAAAATCCTCACTTGAAATTTTCACTGGTTTTGAAAACTGAAATTTCATATACTGTTGCCAGGTAACAACTGCTGCTGAGCTCTTGCAAAATGGCTGCTCACAGGACCAGAAGCTGCACTGTTACTGGCACACGTAACAAACCTAAACACAACTGTGGGTGAGAGGCATGTCCTTTGAAAGTAAGGCAAGCTTTCAGTTACCAAATAGGCTAACATATCAGGATGAATGCTTCTGCCTACAGAAATAAATGCAAATATTATTAATTTGCCAGAAGAATATTTAAAGCTTACCTGTTTATGAACAGAGTAATTAAATCAGCAACTACGTTATAGACACAAAAACCCTGTGCAGCAACAGGGTATCCCGATGCAGAGACCATTTGGGCACTCACCTCCGTTTACCTGCACTGCATGAAGAAAACAGCAGCAGCACTCACACAGCACAAGGAAATCGCAGGCCAGGGAATGCAGTCCTGTAACCACCTAATACATTTGTGCTGTGCTTGCTGGTGCAAGATTAAGACGCACCCCTTATTCCTACAGCATATAGTGGGTGCTATGGCAGTTGCAGCTACTTGCATCAACTGCAACTTATCCTTTGCAACCAAAAGCAGGAAGATATTCACTACAGAAAAAGCATTGAGGCTGCCAGAGAAAGACAATACATTCTTTGCTCTCTTTGCAGCAACAGGAACGCCTCACTTAAGTATCTCTGCTCTTTTATGGACAGCAGGACAGTGACATTTGCTCCACGGGAAAGGGAAGGATGAAACACACCCCAGAGGCTGACAGGCACAACAACAGTACACCAAAGTTTAGAAACGGGCTTAGGCCATCACTCTGTCTTAATTGGAGCCAGACTAGCACAGGTGCTGCCTGCACACAGTCCTGAAGGCACAAAAGAAGGGAAGAGGCTCAGTGTTTAGCAGGTACATGAACAAAACAAAAATGTTAACCTAGACTAGTAGATCCAGGCCTTCAATGGTAAAGAAACTGCGGTCGTATTCATTACCTTTTCAAAGAGCAGGAAAGCAGGAGCAATCAGAGCTGCGATACTGAACTCTTCTTGCTCCCACCTCCCCACCCCCACATCAGGAACTCTGTACTAAACAGCGACTTCCCTGATCAACGCCACGCGGGTAGGGTGAGCCCACGTAACACCTGGTTATCAGCAGTGATTTCAGCACAGACTAAAGGATCCTGCCTACCACCCCAGCTGGGACTCTCCTCCACAGCACACTGGCATTAATGGCCTGTCTACATGCCCCAGCTGGGGGGGTCCATGGTTTGATATGCAGCTCCCCTGTGCTGAGTGCATGGCATCAAAAAAAGGCAAGGGCTACTGAAGCAATGGATTAAGTTTGCCAAAACTGGGAGAAAACTGTGTCAAGAGACACTTCAGTGGTGGATTGCGTTTTCACAATCACCAAACCCAGCAGAGCTAATAAAGTATTGTGACAGTTGTAAACTCTAAAGAGTGGGGAATGTTTCTTGTCACCTGCCTGGACAGCACCCAGAATAACATAATGCTGCTCATAGCTAAGTGCACCTAGTACTGCAAAACTTGCTTTGTGGCAATAACCTTGGAAAGCAGCTACACTAGGCTCTGCTGGCTATTAAAATCTGTAAGTGAAACCCAGAGTATAAAAGAAACTAGAACTAGAGAGGGCCTTGACCACAGCAGCTTTATGCCAGACAAGACTAGCCCTACACATGCAATTCATGAGGCTGCTTCTGTTCCCTTTCAAAAGCCTTGAAGGATCCCCCAGTTTCCCTTTCCTCTGACATCCTAAGAGGACTTTCAGAGGCTTTCACTTAACAAACATGTACTCTTGCTCTTCACTTTACTACGTCCAGTTCTTTCAAATCTATTTGCTATTACCGAGGCAGTGATTTCTGCTGAGAACCACAGGTTCCTTACTGCTTGACTTACTGTCCATTTGCTCTTTTTCCTCTCAACCCCTTCTTGTGCACTAGAGTTGACAGAGAAGGTATAAAGAGAATGAACAGGAAAGAAGAAAAATGAAAAGAAATAAGCCATACTCAGTAAATAACTCCTTTGCTTCGACCAGCAAGAGAAGCTGCTTCAGGGGGAAAGTCAAGTCACCTTGAGAGAACAGAAACAACTCCAACCATTTCCCAACCATGACACATCCTTTCAGTTCAGAAATTGCTTGTGAAACAAGTGTTCCCCATGCCCACACTGAGTTCTCCTTTCAGTCTTTCAAGTAGAGAGTGCTGCACTGTGAAGAAAAAATGTATTTTCTTCTAAGATTTATAATCTGGGAGCACCGAAGTGCTCCAGAAACAAGAGAAACTACTTCAAGTAATGAGAAGTTTCTCTATCGGTAGTAAAACTAACAAAGCTGGCTTCCTTGTAGGTTCGCTCCATCACCCCATGTGTCTCTACACCGCTCCCACAACAATCCTGCATTCAACCTCTCATCCTTTTGGCCAAGCAAAAGGCAGCACACGTGGCCATGCACATTCTGCACTCTCAGGACACTTAAAAGCTACGTTATTCCTGCCTTTCCCTCAAGAGGAGCATAACACGGGCATAAATTCCCAGAAGCTAAGTTTTTTTTGCAAAACATTCGTGGTCTCTGCCTCTTTCAGACCTTTACGTTACCGGGTTTGACTGAAACACCACAGTAGGTTCAGAAAGCTATGAGGGTGGTTGAGAGAGATGCTAGGCTACAGTGGGAGCGAGAAGATGTTTTGCACAGCTGACTCCTAAGCCTGCTGCTGTTCGCCACTGATATTTTTACAGGCAGAAGGGAGTCCACTGAACTCTGAGCACAGAAGTATAATGGCTCAGAGCAAAGGCAGAAGACTCACAACTGCTTTAAGAGAGATATTTGTGATCCCATTTCACATTTGAACAAGAAGGAGAGCAAAAAGTCTGTGGAAAGGGCGAAAACGGCACTGATCGCAGAGACCTGATAGCCCCTTCCACTGAACCCAGTGAGACACCTGGGAAAAACTCAAAGAATTCTTAATAAAGGAAGGAGACTTGGGTGGAGGAGGTCAGTGCTGTTCAGTTCTCAGCAGCGATACCTCTCAGACAGCAAGAGCCCAGAGACCCGCAGCAGCAGCGAGCTTTGGCTCTGAACCGCTCCCGCTCTGCTCAGCCACCAGAATCCTCTCCCATAAGCGAGAGTGCTCGAGCTGGGTCGCTGGCTCTTCTCCTTACCCGGCTGGTACACGCCTCCCCGCTGGCTCCCGGGCTCCTCGGGGAGAGAGGCAGGGGCGAGCGGGAACCCCTCTCGCCCTGGGCGGGACGGAGCCGGCGGAGGGCGATGCCGCCGGCGCCCCGAGGGGAGACGGGGCCGCCTGACGGACGGCGGAGCCCCAGCACGCCGGCTGAGGAGGGTCCCGCAGCTCCGGCCCCGGCCACGGCAGCGCGGCCG